ATTTAATTAGTTGTAATGAAAATAGCTTCAACTATGTATTGTGTGTATGAATTTATATTAATTACCGCCAGTTTTTATTGTACGAACTTTTATTTAAAATAATAAAAAGCTACTCAATGTTAAGAAACAAATTTTATTTATAATAATTAATTACAATGTGCGACAATTTCAAGAAGCCGAAAACGACACAGGTTTCATTAATGGCTACATTTATTGATTCATTTTGAAAGTTTGGAACAAACTTCTTTATGTACTTATTAGTTTGAACGCTCCGGATAATATGCTATATTACATATATGTACATACTCCAATTGCATTCTTTTTATTCTGGGGTTCCAAATAAGATATAAACCAGGGTTGCTCAACAAACGAAACGATATCATTTCGTTGCGTTTCAGTGTTAAATTAACGAAACAAAATTCAGTTGTTAACCTCAAAACAAAATAAATCAAGGAAAAGCTGTCACCTATAAATGACTGCGGATGTTTATGCAGGAAAGCAAGCCAAAAAAATATGTACGACTAAACTATAAGAATACTGTATAAATTTCGTTCATAGTTATGTGGTACATATTTTTAGGCTTCGTTTTCTGCATCCGCAGTCTAGTTATAAACCATTTCCAACTCACTGTTAACACCTAGCGCCTAAATGCATGTTACAGCTTCAGCGTTAACGATTGGATTTCTTTTCGTTAAAACCCCAAAATAGAATTAGTTTGATAATTACCTAAACGATAAAAAGTTGATTCGTTTCAACAAAACCCATTGTTTTTTTTTCGGTAAATATTAAAATTAACGTTACATTGCATCCTTGGCATAAAGAAATGTAGCAAACATTTTTGACAAAATATTTTTTTATGGAATCTAACTTAAATTTTTTCTTTTAAGCTTTTTTAGCATATAAGTATGTGCTAGTCTAAGATCCGAGTAAGGCAGGACCTTCACCCATCTGCCTAATGTTCGCGAGTGGGTTGGCTGAAAAATCCTAGCCAGGATATTTTAATTTAATTATTCAAAAATTATTATTTTTTTAAATTTTGCACTCGTTTGTTTAATGAACAAATTACATATATACTAATTGAAAGCATAAAGTCTTTATTCGGATTTTCTACTATACATATGTATATGTAACTGTGGACGCTATTTTTATAGCATCCCAGTTGAATCGTTAGAAGCTTTGGTTATTTCTATTTTCTATCCGAATTTGAGGTCATTTTTATGAAAATTTTGTATGGTAAAAAAACAATTAAGTATATACAACTGTGGGTGGTATAAGTAGCTGATATTTGAAAATCGAACTTCTTTGAGTTCACGGGAATTTGAACCATGCCACTCAGCAAATTTGTCATTCTAAATTTCAATATATTCCACTATGTTGGAAAACTTGCTCCTCCTGTTGAAGAAGTCTATGCCTCGGACCCTATAGAAACCTGTAATGAGAACCGACATGATGATAACATGAGGCTATGAGAGCAGAAGTGGCTTTCTTAAAATAGTTTCAAATGTGGTACATTTGAAAATAAAGATCGGGTATTCCTTAATTTGATGGTACGCCATGTAGCTTTAAAGCTGAAAGGCGTTGAAATATAATTTAGTGCAATTGTATATAAGCTGCTCCATAACCAAAGCCTGAAAGATGCCAAATTTCGAACTTGTTTCAGGCTTTTCAGGCGTCGTCTGACAGTTACTCATTCGAACATTAGTATTGGTGAATATGATTATCGCAATGGTGTAATCGATAACACTTACCATATTTTAAAGGAATTTTACACAAAATTTTGGGCAATAAAATGCAAGGAAAAATCATTTATTGTTTGAACATTAATAGGAACAAAAGGGGAACAAAAGTACTGAATAAATTAAAATGAAATGGTAAAAGAAGTATCACTTCTATCGAACTAGCATTAGTTGCGATCCCGTACGAGTCCGGACTAGTCAGAAATAGTCAGAATCAGTCAGATTTTACTGGAAATCGATCCCGTACTCGGTTCTCTGACTATTGAGAGGACAAAAAAGAGAGTAAATACGGTTCTCTCTCTGTCAGAAGTTACCAGTTTTAGTCCGAGAATTTTTTGCTGGTAAATTCTGGTAAATGTGTCAAACGATCAGCTGTAGTGTGTTTGGCAACCAAATTGTAAACAAAAGAAAAGTGCACTCTGCTAATTCATGTTGAAAAGTATTTAATTACTTGTTTAAGTGGATTCTAATGAATTTGAGAGTATTTTTGGTTATTTACATGTGGGAGCTCAGTGTGTTTACATACAAAATAAGCAAAAATTTACAACCAAAATTTGGAGGTTNGGCAACCAAATTGTAAACAAAAGAAAAGTGCACTCTGCTAATTCATGTTGAAAAGTATTTAATTACTTGTTTAAGTGGATTCTAATGAATTTGAGAGTATTTTTGGTTATTTACATGTGGGAGCTCAGTGTGTTTACATACAAAATAAGCAAAAATTTACAACCAAAATTTGGAGGTTATGTTGAAGTTGACAGAAGCTACAATTTTTTTACTAAAAAGCGATCCCGTACTTTTCAATGTTACTCTCTCGCTCGGAGCGAATTTTAATTTTTTGACAGTTTTACTAGTCCGAGTCCGAGGAATACGGGATTGCACCTATTTTTAAGTTGATACCTCATTTGTCGAAAAACTCATTCTTACTCCATTCTCCCCATTTACTGTGAAATGACAAAGGTTTGAAGAAATGTCATGCGCAAAAAGTTTGTTACGGAGTTACTCGCTTGAAAAGCCCTGAACGAATTCGAAAGCCGCAACGCCTGAAAAACCTGCTATGAAGCTTCACCTTAAGGAATAAGCGACTTTTATCTTACAATTTATCCCATTTGAGACTATTTTAAGTAGATAAGTACAAAAAAAATATATATATATATTTTGGGCCATTCCAGCTCTCACGGCTACTTATCAGCTTAAGCATGTGCATATGTACACATTATATGTATATGTATATGTATATGTATGTTTTGAAAATTACCATTAACAGAGGAATGCGGAGGCGCGAATTGAAAAGACGGAAATGGTAAGTGCCAGTCCTTACTAATAATATTCCATTCGGCAGTCGCATTTACTTTCAACCAAACCTCATACGTTTTGAGACATTGCACAGTGTCCGCTTCGTGCCAAAAAATAAATATTTCTCCCTCTGCAATTTTAGTAATCACTGGTGGCCGAGGTGCCTTCAAAACAGGGGACAAATAGGAGCAAACCCGAAATAACAAAATCCAAGGGAGCTGAAAATGGCCAATATTCAGTTCGAACTCGGCTCTCGATAGAAGCCCGGTTGCCTGCAAGCGAGGAGTTTGGGCGTAGCGCATTTCTGCACGTTGCGTTTTGTTCGGGAATGGTGTTGCGTTTGCTTTTGCTCGCCAAATATGGGCCGGATCGGTGTGGCCTTGCTCTAGTATCTCGATTATATAAGCAAAATTCTCCTTGGCACATAGCGTGAAAGGTAACTGACGACGAAGGGTGAAGTTTCCTAAGGTCGTAGTATTCTCCTGGGGCAGAAGCAACCAACTCAAGTAGAGAGGTGTGTTTTCGATTGAACATGTTTTCAAAAGCCATAGCTCATTATTGGAATTATTTAATGTAATTGTTTCTACATCAGCTGCAAGCGTTGCCAACTTTGATAACATTCCCAATGCGGCGTATACGGGCTTTTGTATGAACTGCGAGTGAGCTGGTTGTGAGTTGTTCATACGGAAATGTGCCAGAAGAGTTCGCTGTGCGAATTCATATGGATGATAACTAATGAAGGCATTATCGTGGCTGATTGATTCCAGGTTTTTGAATACATCATTCGATATTTTAACGTGCCAGTGCAAAAACGTAATGTATACAAGCTTTGCGGCATATCTAACGTCCTCGTGATAGCTCTGGGGTGTAGACCAACCTGCGATGGGGTCCGCTTCACTGGAAATTCATAAAAAAATTACACTAGTTGACAAGAAATCCGACCTTTAGCACTTGACCATAATTTCTGATGAAAAATTTTGTGCTGTTAATACAAATTTCTTTTGAGTTTGTCTTTATAGCGGCACTCGATGAAACCGTATTTAAAAATAAACAAAATCTGCCGATGAGAGAAATAAAAAGTTGAAAACAAATGTGAGTCAATACCCTTCTGAATTTCAAAGCGTATTTAAATTTTTTTTATGCATTCGTTTTGAATAATTGCGAGCTGAGTCAAAGCCTAATAAAGGTGCTGGCCCAATGTAGGCTTGCTTTGCTGGCCTTAGTGACTTCATTTTGCTTTAATTTACTTTAAAAGCTTGTTTGGCCAAATGTAGCTTGGAACGCTGTCAAAGCAATCAGCTGTGTGGGTGCGAAACCAAAGTCTGTTCCATTAACATCCGGCCCTAAGGGCCGTTTACTCAATATGTGGTTAACACTAATCTCCGTTCAAACATCATTATCGACGTGTTTGGCTCCATGCATACAACAGGGAGTCTGTAACGTCGATAACGATGTTTTACCGGAGATTAGTGTTAACCAGACATTGAGTAACCGGCCCTAAGAATTTCCCTCAAAATACGACATGAATTAATAATAAAATTAATTAATAATAAAAAATAATAGGAACATCGTCTTAGCTCCGGATCTCTTCAGATTTATTTTGAAATTAATGTGAATTTTTTTTTTATTTCAAGGAAAAGATAATAATGAAATAATTATACTAGCTCATTTACATATAAAAAACTCTTAACTCATAAAGGCGCTTTTTCACGAAACTATTGATGAGTAGTTATTATTGCTTATTGCCCGGCTTGTATAGCATATATGTACATACGTTTAATACAAATATGGAAAGAGATGAATCACTTTTATTTAACATTGAATTACTTACAGTTTTCGGCAACACTTTTTTAAATTAAGACATTTATTTACAAGTACATACAGTGCCGAACAGAAGTATTGGCACAGTGATTTTTTCGCAATATAGGCAAAGTTATTTATTCTAATTTATCTTCGATAAT